CACTCGGGAATGAGAATCGGGGACGATCGGTTCGCCCCGAAGTTGGCGGCGCGAAGAAGTTGAATCGAAGGAGTATCGATCCGAGGGAGGGGAGGGGTCGAGGCGAGTCTGCCAGTTTCTTCAACTTCACTCGAAATCAGAAATGAACTCGAATTCAATAGGTAAGAGATATGTAATTAATTCCGATCTCGATCTCGATTTTCCCCCTCTTTCCCTCGATCGTAGAGAAGATCGAAATTTACGAACAGAATGCCAAGTATATTCAGGAATTCGTTGCGACCGAGGGTACGTTAGAGACACCGATCGATTTGGACATTAGTTACATGAAAGTGATCGATCTGGAACCTTTCGAATGGCCTGGTATCGATGTAACGCCGAGAAAATTGAAAATTACCAATACAGGTTTTACAGGTGGGTGGATTTCTTTTTCTTTTTTTTCTTCTCTCTCTCTCTCTCTCTCTTCGCTTTCGTCGTCTCGATGACGCGATAAGAGTTGATTATCCCCCTCCCTTTATCCCCCCCACGTTCCCCTCCATTGATGACGTTTATCGATTTAAAGTAATTCTGAGCGCAAAATGGCAACAAGGAACTCCTTACCTTTGCAAGGGGCCGTTAGAAGGGAATTACGTGTTCGCGCAAGTTCACTTTCATTGGGGAGAGAACGAGATGAGAGGGAGCGAGCACTTCGTTGACGGTGCAAGGTTTAAAAACTTCATTGCTTGTTGTGAATACAACACTGTACACCCACTGTAACGTATCATCCTTAAGAATCTGACTCTGAATCTGTTTGATTGAATGTAAAGCATGCCTATGGAACTTCATGTCGTGCATTACAAAGAGGAATACGAATCGTTAGACTTAGCACTTCGACGACCTAATGGCGTTACTATCATAGTATATTTTTGTAAAGTAACGTATTCGTATACACATACATATATATATATATATGCTTACTACATTTTTAGATGTTAAAATGTTTTTTATATAAATATTCCGTTTTTTTTATTCTTAGCTTGAAAAAAAAAATTCATCGTATCGAACCGATTGAACCTTTGAACGAACGAAAATGTGACGATTCTTAGTTACAGAACGAGCCGAATGAGTTTATGGAAGGAATCGTGAAAAACTTGACCGTCATTCGAACGGCACACTCGTCGGTTCGTATAATCCCTGCAAATTTAACGGGTATCCTAAAACCATTCTCGACCGACTATTTCTTATATTGGGGCTCGATAACCACGCCTATAAATATACACAATATTCTTTGGATAATTTGCAGAGAGCCGATCGGATTAACAACTAGACAAGTATATCCGTTATTTTCTTTCTCTTCTTTTTTAACGCGATCCCTCTTTTAATCGCGCATTTGTTTCTGCGACAAGATTGCAGAGTTTCGCACTTTGAACGATGAGAAAGGCGTGCCTATTCTGTCGAACATACGCCCTGTAAAACCGAGGCAAGAGAAGAGCGTTTTTCACGTGTCTCCGTCAGGATCTCTCTACGCATCTCTTTTACCTCTTCCACGAGTTGTGCCGTTAACTTTTGCCACTCTTAACGCCAAAGTTACCGAATCTGTATCCGAGACCGTGACCGAGACCGTGACCGAGACTAGCATCGTCAGTGTGGACAAAAATAATATTCTCTAACGTTTTTTCTAACCTTTATATTTATTATATATATACGTTTCTCGATCGTTCGCGAGGAAAAATTCACCTTTGTAATTTCACCTTTTCACCGATAACGCGTAAAATAAAATAAGGATAAGGATGGAACGAAAAGCAAAATAAAGGAAATATTATTTTCTGCGCCTTCTACGTCTTCTTTTCATCCTTTCTCTCTTGAGATCGCAGTCGGGATACAAGGATGCACACTCAGCTCCACCTAGCCCGAGCACGGAAGCCTTTACAGAGTCCAGCATTGCCGACCACCGAGATCTCTCCAACATCCTGCCGGTTACCCAACTCATTCCTAAACTGGAAAAGTCCGATTCCGTGTTTATTCGTAAAATCGTTTCGATGATAAAAATTAAAAAGCGATCGGTCGAATAGATTCCTATTTATCCTCGAAACTTCGATCGTGATTCGAGCGAGAGAAAAAGATTCTTTTTTTTTTTTTTACCTCCAAACGGGCAGCCATATTTTACGAGGGTCCTTGGTTTCGGTCGAGTATCGGTTGCTCTCGCATAGAATTCTACGAATGCAATTTCCAAAATCTAGGTCAGCGACGAAGGCAGCCTCGATGCTTCTGAGAACGGTGTGAGACAATTCGTTCAATTCCTGTTGATCGTTGTAGGATAAGTGCAACAATCCACTGGGATCCCTTCTTAGACGTTTGGCGGTCGTCGTGGTCATGGTTGTGTTCACGTTCGTCTACGCGAATTTGAAAGAAGAGAAAGGTAAGAAGAGGAAGTCGAAGAGAGAAATTACCAGATATAACCCATATGTACCGTGGCGTTCATCAACAGATGTATAATGAACACTCCAAAGGATAAAAAGGCCAAGGCTGTGAGGGCGATTTCGAAAAAATCCTTTATCGAAAGATCGCTCCCTTTCCCCTTGTAATTCTGTTTATGATATTCCTCCTCGTGATCTTGGTAAATTGGAGCGTAATAATGTTCCTCGTGTATAGCGGGATAAGTTTCCGTGTGATGCAGGTAATGG